AAAAAGAACAAAAATTTTTCACGTAGCGTCTTCCATGGCGCGTTTTTGCAGTCCCAAATGATTTTTGTTTTTTTGAAAAATTTGCCCAGACTTCCATGCCCTTGAAAATTTTTGAGCTCCTGACTACATAAAGAAAAAGCTGTTATCCACATTTCTTCTCGTTTTGAAACAAAAAAAAGCTCTCTAAACTCCCAGTCACGAGCCCATAATTGTGCCCATAATTGTTAGAGTCACAAATCAGAAAAACGATTTACTTCCACCAGAGTGTCATTATACTCAACTTTAATATAACCTATATGCTGATACTGTGTTGACCTAAAAACTGTGAAAAAAATAAATAAAAAATAAGTCACTTTAGACAGTATGCATCAATTTTTTTTCACTTTTATTGGCCAGAAAGCTTTTGACCCCTTTGAGATACAACTTCTAAGTGAAGGATTTCACAGAATGAAAGGTTTGTGTTAACTTAATTTGCAGTATGCATGTTGACCAGAAATAGTATTTTTATTTTAGCACCTGCTTAGTGCCTTTTGATCTTTCTGTGTATTTCTGCTTAAATTAATTTGTTTTTAAAAACACATGATGGAGAGGCCATATTTTGTATGTATGCATATTGCTGACTGGTTGAAACGTTGAACTCAGGAACAACGGGGGCAAAGAAGCTGAGACAAAAATCTCAGCCCAAAAAAAAGGACAAAGCATCAAGCCATGTTCGGCGTACACATACCTTACGTTGCTAATAACATTATAAGTGTGGTCGTCATTACGATTGACATCTTCAACAATATGCGCAGTTCGTGTTTCTTCGCTGCTGCCAGAGAAATCTGGAAAGCATTATCGTCTTTTCCGCTTAAATACGGAAGCTGTTCCTGAACTTTACTAAAATATTTAACTGAAAAAGTAATTTATCAGTGCATTAAAAAATTTAAAAAGAAGTTAGGGGTAACTAAAATAGCTTTCGGGATAAGGCAAAAAAAAAACACATTATGAGAGTAAATCAAACCATTGATGATGTCGAACTTATTTTTACTGTCGCCAAGCCACGTCAATACACTAGCAGCATCCGGATCGTCCGCTATAACCCAA